ACAGAGATTTCTTTAACTGAAATACCGAATAGTTTCTTTGGTGTGAAAAACTATAATAGTACACAGGATCCTAATGAGACAATTAATAATGTGAAACAGGAAGTAAAGGGCTAAAAGTGTAAGGAAAGTGGGAAGGGTGGGGGAAAGGTAATAAGGGAGAGGAAAAAAATATGAGAAACTGAAAAAATGGAAATAAAGTGTTTGTAAATGGGGAGGGGAGGAGGGGGTGAAGGGAGGGCAGGGACAAGGGGGAAAATGAGAATCAAGACCTATTATGTAAAGGTACAGAATCCCAATGATGAATGTAATTGTATTGTATACCTAGACTGTACCAATAACCTCAATAAAAAGAAAAGAAAAAAAAAGACTCTTGAGCTTTTACATATGAATGGATTGAAAAAGTACCTACCCATCTTACACTATTTTTTTCCATCTTAAGCAAAGACAGAAATGATTCGTGTATTAGTGTTACACTAGGCCAGGTGCCAGGTCTCACGTATAGTTCCTTATCAACTGATCTGTCATTCTGGATGAAATGGGAGCAAATAATTCCCACTCCCTTCCAACATTAAATAAGATTTGCAGCCTCACCAAATTCAACATGATAAAAATGGAGCACAAACTCCTAAGTCTGGAGCTAAGGATGTAGCTCAGTGGTACAGTGTCTGCCTCACAAGCATGAGATCCTAAGTTCAAACCCCTGCACAAAAAAAAAATTTTTTTAAACTATTTAGTCTGACCTTTAAGCAAATGCAACTTTATTCACTGAAGCAATTGCTGAGAACTACTACGTCCTATAAATACTAAGTGTGGAGCTAATAGAACGGAAACAAAGATATGATCCTACCCCTTATGAAGCTTACCATATGAGGGAAGATTTGAAACAACTCAACATATACATTTCATTCAAAATTGTGTGAGGCCCTGAACAGAATGTCAAAGGACAGAATAAATGGAAAGGGGTACAAACAGCTTGGGGACCAAGGGATACAACTCTCTATGAAAGCAGTATCTAGTCTGAGCTCACAAGATAAATCAGCTACAAAATAAAGAAAGGAGATTTCAGACAGAGAAAATAGCTTCAAGAATCTATGATAAGAAAAAACATGGCAAATTAAAGGATCTGAAAAAAATGAGCTATCAAAGGTAGAACAGATGATGAGGGAGGAAAAGCAAAGATAATCACAGTATTCAGGGTCCTAAAGGTTAGACTGGGGCCTCTAGATCATGCTGTCCTCAGGACAAAAGAAACACTATAGGGTTCTCAGCCTGGAAAGTGACTTAAATGTCTTTCAAACTATTTAGCTTTTATTTTAAATGCTCACCTGAAGTCAATGTCATAGTCAACAAACTGATAACATTCATTCAAACAATTATTTATGACATACAGGATGTCTATCCACGTGTACCAGCCATGCAGCAACCTCTGAGGATATGAAATGAAAGGCTCTGTGGCTCATGTGCAAAATGGACTCAAGCATTCAAAACACAATCATGGCAGGAGAGTTTTGTCATTCTGACAAACAGCTTTTCTTGTACACTGTACCCCACAATATTTTAGTTAAAATTTGCTTCTAAAAATAAAATGAAAACTGGTCAAATTTCCCAATTCCTACACTTTTATTTAGGTATGATTTACTTCACATCTAAATCATGCTTTTAGAAAGATTTTTCGTATGTTCAAATGAAATGTGAATTCTTCCTTAACTCTATTAACATCAACAGAATACAGCCTAAGAACATAGTTTACCACCACTGCATTAGGGGCTATTAAATAATTTGTGATTATCTAACCTTTGGGGGTGAAATTAAAAAACAATTATTCTAATATTTCTTTTTTTTTACCTTT